TTCAAACGAATGTATCTCGGCTTCTAGATGAGCTAGGTAGGTGAAATTTGAAGGAGAATGGTGAAAATTTCGGATCATCAGCCTTTTTGGAATTTCATATTTCCCGAATTCTAGAATTTCAGAATTCGAGAATTCCCAATTTTTGGATTTTTTTTTCGATATTAAATTTTTTTAGAATTTCTATGATTTTTAAAAATCAATTCTCGCTTCAAAATTTCAGAAATATCAGTCAAATTCTGAAATTTTTCGGGCTTGAAAAATCGGCAAATTTTTTCGATTCACTCCAAACAAAAAAAGGATTTCCAGATTTTTCGTAATTTCAAAATTTTTTGAAACGCATTTATTCACAAAATGTGCTGTTTTTCATACAATTCCGTCATCTAGAAACCGAGATACAGCCATTTGAAGTTCCAGGAGGCTAGAAACGCCAGACGACGAGACACGCTGCATCTCTTGCCTCCGAGCTAGAACCCTGGGTTTTGGGACCAAAATGAAGTGTTTTTGGCTTAAAATTTGTCAAATTTCATAGAATGTTCAAATCAATAGAAACGCAAACAGTTAGAGTGTCTCGTCGTTTGCGTCTCTAACCGCATTTACGGCCCATTTTCTTACCGTATTCGAGTAAGAAGCGCCACCACTAGTCGGCGTCGTTGGCTGGCTCGACAGCACTTGTGAGTTCCGTCGTGCCACTTCGTCTGTCGCAAACCGACTGGCCTCTTCCAATTGTTCCTTGGTGACGCCCTGTGTCGAACGACGGTGTTGTCGTTGCATGCGAGAGTTGTTTCGACGCTCCGCCTCACTTTCAGTCACCGTTTTCGATTGCCAGCGGCTGGAATTTTTTGCGAATCTTTGGAATTTTTGGAATTTTTGAAAAAGTGCACTTTTTGGGGAGTATTTTTAGCTGTATGGCTTCATGAGAGGGAAATCTGGGCACACAATGCAATGTTATGTTATGTGTCATATCTTTTGTTTCGTAGAAGGAGCGAGGGACAATTGTTTGTTTCTCTTTCAGTACACATATTAATAATGCATGCAACAATTTTCGATTGGGTTCCTAAGGTGATGGCCTAGAAACCCAAAATCCTAGGCCATGATTTATATGGTTTTGAAGAGCACGGTTTGACAATTCGAAATCAGTTTTCAAATTAAAAAAATATCGATTTTGAAGCGAGTTATGGTCGTTTCAATTTTTGGAAAATTATGGCCTAGTTTAGGATTTCTAGGCCACCAAACTAGAAATGGCTATAACTCGCTTCAAAATCAATATTTTTGAAATTTAAAAACTGATTTGGAACTGTCACATTGCGTTCTTTAAGACCATGTATGTCATCGCCTAGGTTTCTCAGATTTTGGATTTCTAGGCCATCAAATTTAAAATGAGTATAACTCGCTTCAAAATCGAGATTTTTGAAACCTGAAAATTAATTTCGAACTGTCACAATGCGCAGTTTGAAAACAGTTCCAAATCAATTTTTAGACTTTAAAAATCTCGATTTTAAAGCCATTTATGACCATTTGAAGAATATGGCCTAGATATCCAAAACCAGAAAAATCTAGGCCATGGTGTACATGGTTTTAAAGAGTTCAATTTGGCAGTTCCAAATCACTTTTCAGATTTCTAAAATATCGATTTTGAAGCGAGTAATGGTCGTTTCAATTTTTGAAAAATTATGGCCTAGTTTTGGATTTCTAGGCCACTAAACTAGAAATGACTATAACTCGCTTCAAAATCAATATTTTTGAAGATTGAAAACTGATTTGGAACTGTCACATTGTGCTCTTTAAATCCATGTATGTCATGGCCTAGGTTTCTCAGATTTCGGATTTCTAGGCCACCAAATTCAAAATGAGTATAACTCGCTTCAAAATCGAGATTTTCGAATTCTAGAAATTGATTAGGAACTGTCAAATCGTGCTATTTGAATCTATATGCAGCATGGCCTAGATATTTCTGATTTTGGATTTCTAGGCAATCATTTCAAATTCAAGGTTAGTACAAGGAGGATCATGCATCATCATGCAACATAGAAGCGACAAACTCCACACCTCATCTTGTTCGGATTGATTTGTTGCGGCACGAATCCACGTGGATACTCGGCTATCGTCGCCGGACTACTGGCTCCAACCGAGCTCTGCGACGGCGTCCGCGAGCTAGCGATCGGTCGAAACGCGCTGACACGTGGATAGTAGCTGGAGAGCGACGACGACGACGCGTTCCGAAGCTGTTCAATGTGGGTGCGAATCTGTCCGGTGGAGGCGTTGTTGACGTTGTGCCATAGCGATGCCCATGGCACGTTCGTCGGCTGGGAGGGACTACGGTAGAGCTCTTCCGATGGATTTCGAGAGGAGCTGAAACTGAAGACAACTGAGGACATTTGGGGGACAATGGGACAATGGGACAACGAGACAAAAAACTGAAATTTTTGGGACAAGAGGGCCAAGGACAAGAACTGAAATTGAACAAAAAAATTAGAAAAAAAACGAGATTCTGAAATTCTGAGAAAACCAATTTTAGGTAACTTTAAGCCCATTTTTAGGCCGATTTCAGCCAATTTTAGGCATTTTTAGGCCCATTTCAGCCATGTTTAAGCCCATTTTTAGGCCTATTTCAGCCATGTTTAAGCCCATTTTTAGGCCTATTTCAGCCATGTTTAAGCCCATTTTTAGGCCTATTTCAGCCATGTTTAAGCCATTTCTAGGCCCATTTCAGCCGAATTTAGGCATTTTTAGGCCGATTTTAGGATATTTTAGGCCTATTTCAGCCGATTTTAACGCAATTTCAGCCATGTCTAGCTAATTTTAAATAATTTTAACCCTATTACAGCCGATTTTAGGCATTTTTAGGTTTATTTTGACTAGTTTTAGGCGATTTCTGCACCATTTTAGGCCTATTGTAGGCCATTTTTCCCAGAATTTCAAGCCAAAATCTGGAATTTCTCAGCACTAACCTTGGTTTTGTGAAAGTGGCTGTAATTGTGACACTTCCAGCCGGTGACGGGGTGTTCTTGGCCGATGAGGAGATCGTCGCCGCCATCACATTCGAGTTGGTTGGTGTTGATGGTACGGTAGATGGTGTTGGGGTTACTGTAGTGCTGGCGGACGATGAGGGATTTTGGTGGAGGAGTGAGTGTGGAGAATGGAGAGACGCAGGTGGGGAGATGATATCGGAGACGGGCGTCGAGCTGGCGCGAGAGACGGATGAGGTCGAGGATCTGGAATAGAGATTTGGCATTTTTTAAGGATTTTCAGAATTTTCAGAATTTCAAAATTTTTAGAATTTCAGATTTTTGGGATTTTCAGATTTTTAACTTTCTAAATTTCGAATTCGTCAAAATCCCAAAAACCTAGGAATTTTGATTTTTGCTATTTTCAGGTTTTCGAGATTTTTTTTTGATTTCCAGATTTCCAGAATTTCAGATTTTCAAATTCCCAGCATTCCGGAATTTCAGAATTCCAAAACTTCAGAAATCCTGAATTCCAGGATTCCAGAATTTCCAGATTTCCAAAAATTCAAAATTCTAAAATTCCAGAACTCTTGAATTCTAGATTTCCGGAATTCGAGATTTTCAGCAATTTTGAACTTTCTAGATTTTCAGAATTCCAGATTTTTAGATAAATTCAGAATTTCCAGAATTCCTGATTTTCAGAATTCCAGAATTTCCGAATTTCAAATTTCCAGAATTTTCAGAAAATCAGAATTACGAAATTCGCAATTTTTGGAATTTTTTTTTGGAGGAATTTTCAGCCAAATTCTGAAATTTTTCGGGGCTCAAGAAATCCAAAAAATCGGTGAGATTTTCAGAAATTTTGAACTTTCAGAATTCCCAAATTTCCTATTTTCTAAAATTTTACCAATTCCAGATATCAATAAATTCAGAATTTCCAGAATTCCTGATTTCCAGACGATTCAAATTTCCTGAATTTCCGAATTCGAGAAATTTAGATTTTCAGATTTTCAGATTTCCAGAACTTCTGAATTTCAGAATTCCAGAATTCCAAAAATCGAGATATTCAGAATTTAAACATTTCCGAGTTTCAGAATATTCAGAAATTCGGCTGAAAATTGGGCGAAAATTGCCGGAAAATTGTCAAAAATAGGCTGAAAAAGAGCTAGAAATCGTAAAAAATGGCTGAAAATTAGCTAAAAATAAGCTTTAAATTAGTCAAAAGCCAAATTCTGAAATTTTTCGGGGCTTAAAAAATCCAAAAAATCGGTGAAATTTTGATTTTTTGATTTTTTTTTCTTCTAAAAAAACCAACAAGAAAAAGCCGAAAAAAAAAAACAAAAAAACGTTATTGTCTAGTGACTCATATTCTGACTTTTGTTTGAAAAAATGGCGGAAAATTCGAAAAAAAGAGGTTTCTAGGCCAAAAACAGCTAATTTCAGCCATTTTTGACTAATTTATAGCCATTTTCAGCCAAATTCAGTCCACTTTTTGAATGTTTCAGCTACCTTGACGACAATGGCACCCCTCTGTTGATCCATGAGCTCGGACTCTGATGAACTGCTTTCGGCGGAGCACTGAGCGGAGCAATTGGTACGGTGGCGCTGACGGTTTGATCTCCCGATCCGATTGACGAGGTGGCCTCCTGAAAACACTTGGAAGAGACTTTATTTCGGGGTTTTCTAGGTTATGAGGGAAAGTTCGGCCATCGAATTCTAAATGAATCGAAAGAGCCTAATTTGATTGTTCTAAATCAATTTTCAGATTTCAAAAATATCGATTTTGAAGCAAGTTAGATCCATTTTTAATTTGGTGGCCTAGAAATCCAAAATCAGAGAAACCTAGGCCATGTTGTATATGGTTTTAAAGAGCTTGATTTGACAGTTCCAAATCGATTTTTCAATTTTGAAAATCTCAATTTTGAAGCGAGTTATGATTATTTCAAGTTTTGGTAAAATCTGGCCTAGTTTTGGATTTCTAGGCCATCAAACTTAAAATCGGTATAACTCGCTTCAAAATCGAGATTTTTGAAATATAAAAACTGATTTGAAATAGTCAAATTGTGCTCTTAAAGATCATACACATCATGGCCTAATTTTTGTAATTTTGGATTTCTAGGCCACCAATATAAAAAATGGGTGTAACTTGCTACAAAATCGAGATTTTTGAAATCTGAAAACTGATTTGGAATTGTTGAGTCGTGCTCTTTTTCAGAATTAAAAAATCTCGACTTTAAAGCCATATATGACCATTTTAAGATGATGGCCTAGAAATCCAACATCGAAAAAACCTAGGCCATGATGTATATGGTCTTGAAGAGCACAATTCGACTATTCCAAATCAATTTCTAGAATTCGAAAAACTCGATTTTGAAGCGAGTTATACTCATTTTAAATTTGGTGCCCTACAAATCCGAAATCTGAGAAACCTAGGCCATGACATACATGGATTTAAAGAGCACAATGTGACAGTTCCAAATCAGTTTTCAATCTTCAAAAATATTGATTTTGAAGCGAGTTATAGTCATTTCTAGTTTGGTGGCCTAGAAATCCAAAACTAGGACATAATTTTCCAAAAATTGAAACGACCATTACTCGCTTCAATATCAATATTTTGAAATCTGAAAAGTGATTTGGAACTGCCAAATTGAACTCTTTAAAACCATGTACACCATGGCCTAGATGTTCACGATTTTGGGTTTCTAGGCCACCATCGAAAAACCTACCAAAGACGATCGTGGCGTCTCCTGTGAGTGCACCGACGCGCTTCTCTGCGACGATGGCGTCGATGACGGTGTGAATCTCGATGAAGCCGTCGTTCCAGATCCAGATGACGTCGCCGCTTCTGACGCCGTCTCCACTGATGATTCTCGCGCCGAGCTGGAGCGATCCGTGTAGCCGTCGAGGCTTCTGGAAAACGTTGAAAAAGATTATTTAAAGCCAAAAATCGTCATTTTCAGACAATTTTCAGATTTTTTTTCCAAAAAATCGATAATTCTAAAAATCTGAAATTTTCCAAATTTCAGTGATTTTTTTTTCAATTTTTCAGCGAAACACAAAAATGCTAATGCAGTGGAAAAAGGGCAAGAAAACAACTGAAAAGCAGAGAAAATAAAAAAGATTGTGCTTGGAAAAGTACAGTAATCCTAAATTACAGTAATACGAAAATTCGGAAGTTGACAATTTTTTCAAAATTTTCAAATATTCCAAAGTTCCCAAATTTCAAAATTCGCCGGATTTTCAAATTTTTTCAAGAATTTGAGATTATCAGCTACAGTGTCATCCTAAACTACAGTAATCCAAAAAAACCACCTACAGTAATCCTGAAGACAACCTGACTACTACTGTAATCCCACTCATCTACAGTAACCTAAAGGGGATAGAATTTCAAAATTTTGAGATTTTCCCAAATTTCAAAAATTCCATATCTTTCAAATTTCCAAGAGAGGCCTACAGTAACCGTATAAGACTACAGTAACCCTGAAAAGCTACAGTAGTCCTGAATTCATCTACAGTAATCTCTTGGAAAAGTGGAAAATTCGAAAATTATCGATTTCCATTTTAAACGTCTTCTCAGCTACAGTAATCCTAAGTTACAGTAATCCTGAGAAAAAAAACTACAGTAATCCCTTATTGAAGGTAACTTTTTTCTACAGTAATCTTCTACCGTAATCCTTAATCCATCTACAGTAACCTAAAAATGTAATTTTGGGAATTTTACGAATTTTGGATTTTCAGAATTTTTCAAATTCTGAATCTCGTCTTCTCAGAATCGCCTTCTATTACCTCGTCATCGATAAACTTCTGCTTCCTGTCTCCGACCTCACCGGCGACGTCTCTATCTTCTTGACGTCTTCTGATTGCTCATCTTCCGCTGCCTCCTCCTCATCAGCTTCCATCTCATCTTCTGCCTCGACGTCTTCAACCTCCTCATCTTCCTCCTCTTCTTCCACTTCCACGCCTTCTGAATTCGCCGTCGACTCTCTGGATTCTCTGTCGTTGTCACCGATTCTGATGGTGGTGGCAGATGACGTGGAATTCGTCAGATTTTGAGAAGACGTCGTCGTGGAGGACGACGACGCCGTCGAACCGATCGATGAGTGATGGAGATATTCGTTTTCACTGTAGTAGATTTTGGTGGAGAAAAATATGATGAAATAAGGGTGAACAATGTGGCGGTGATAAGCTGATAGAGGGAGATAGAGGTGATAAAGGGAGCACATGCATCAATTTTTCAGACTTTTTTTCGAAAATTTTAAAGAGTTCGATTTGGCAGTTCCAAATCACTTTTCAGATTTCGAAAATCTCGATTTTGAAGCGAGTTATACCCATTTTAAGTTTGGTGCTGTCGACGTGCATGACTGGACGACGAGGAGGACGTGTGAGGAGTTGTTGCTCAAAGGAGCCGACATCAATACGTGTACAGTAGACGGGCTCACAGCACTTCATCAGGTGAGCATTTGGG